CCCCCCCCCCCCCCCCCCCCACTGCTGCCCTTTCCTCCTCCTTTCCCCAGTCTCCATTATCAGCATTCATTACACTCGGGAGGTTTCCCCAGCAGAAGGCTTGCTGTGCTTACGAACATGCAATGAGCACACCTACTGGATATAATGCACACTCATTGTATTGCAAGGACTTCCCTGTGGAGCTCAACTCACTGGAGTTCTATGGGGAGAACTGGGGGGTGGGAAGAGGACAGGGGGCCAAATGTGACCTCCATGAGGAGGGCTCTTAGGCGAATGTCCCACTCCTTCTGCGTCCTTGGCCTGAAGTTCTTGCAGATTTTGCACTTTTCTTTTGTGTGCGACTCCCCCAAACACTTTAGGCAACTGCTGTGAGGTTCGCTAACTGACATCGGCTTACCACAAGTGTAGCACAGTTTGAAGCACGGGGACCGGGGCATGCCCCACCCTAGGGCAAAGTCCCTGCTGGGACTCCAACAAACTAACTTAACTTCTTACACTTAATTACTAACTATCTATCTATCAACTATATACAAGAGAATCACCAATAGGCAACAGAACCACTATCACACTTGCAAAGCAAGAGGACGGCACTCTGACCAAACATCACGGGTGGTAAGAAGGAACTGAGAGGGCGTAGGGCCAGCGGCACCTTATACACCAGCGCATGAACACGGGACTCCAGAGGGCGCCAGAGCCAGCCCGACGGATACCGCTAAGGCAAAAAATTCAGACAACGGCGTACCTGGGCACGCACACACCTAGAATGGAATTGACACGAGCAAGCACTCGAAGAAGAACTTTCTCCTAGTTCTGGAAGGGCTGGCAGCCTGCCAAAGGGAGGTCCCTCCTTGCTGCAGGTAACTCAGACCTGTCAGGCACCATGGCTAACCTCCTGCCAGAATTATTTTGCCTCCCTAGAATGGCCCTCACCTCCTCGTACTAGAGCAGGGGGAAATTAAGGCTTTTGCCTATCTGCAGCCATTAGCTGGAGACTTTTACTCCATTCATTATTAAAAAATTAAAATTGACCCTACATTTCTTTAATGCAGGGGTCCTTAAAGGGGTTTTCTGAAAAGGACGACTTCCCATCGGGGCAACTCAGATGCAGCTCTGCCCTCAGACACACACAGTTTGTAATGCTCTGCAAGGCAGTGGTGCAGAGCCCGAGGAAGTGCAGTGGCTGCAGGAGCCTTGATCCACAATGTCTGTTTGTTCCTTGTCTGTTTTCAGCGCTGTCTCCTTGGCTTCACCCGGCTCTCTCTGTTCCAGCATAAGGACACAACACCAGGCAGAGCCAGAACTTCCCTCAGCAACCCATCCACGTGAATCTGCCAGTTCCCTACCAAGCCAGCGGGGACAGCCATGCCAGCTGCTTTAATGCCTCATCGCCATCAGGTTCAGCTACCCTCTCCTATAGGTGCTTCTCACCAGCTCCAGTCTGGAGCAAGAGCTGTTCACCGTGGAAGTCTGCCCCGGCTTGGGGACACCAACACCTATCAAATGAGCTTGCAGGCAGAAGGATTAAGTTCTCCCTCAGGGAAACTCTGAGAATTCCTCTGCCGTGTTAAGAGCTTCTGCCACAGCAATGTCTTTCTCAGGGGCCAGCCTTGCTCAGATCGATATCCTCGTTCACTGCCTACCAGCCAACGGCCAAAAAACCATCTTCCCTACTCAGCGGTGCTTCTTCCTTTGCTGCAGATGACAAATCTCCCCCTTCGACAAAGAGTTTTGTCTTTACAACAGAAGCACACAGTCCTTTTGGGGATTCCAGACATGTCATTATCATTCTGCATTCAACGGCGAGAACTGGAACAGGTACACCAGAGGAGAAAGATCCAGGCAGGACGTCAAACCTCCTCCATCTCTAAAACACACTTCCTAACTTGTAGCAACCTTCATGGAATTTGGAGGGAAGATCATGGCTTGCAGGAGGGAAATGTCTGGAAAAGACACCAGGCATTCTGTGCTTCATGCATATGACAAGGGAGGTGGGGGGGTTAAACGGCAGTTTGAGCAGTTCCATACATAATTGATTTAATAGTGAGCCAGTTTAATTGAATAAAAATGGAATCCTCTCATGTTATTACCCAGACCTCGGCACATGAAACATGACTCACTGGCCCCACCCATTCGGAGATCAGGAGAAAAAGAGCGTGAGAGGGCGAGGGGGAAACATTCTGAAAATGTGTGTGTTTCTGGACCAGACCAATCTCGGACAGTTGGGTAACAGAACTGATTCTACATGGATACCTACCAGTACTAAACTCTTTCCTCGGCGACTGATTCATTCACTCTGGGTCACACACACCTATAAGGGACTGCAATGCTTGGGAACAAAAGTATAAATTGAAAGTATTGTGCCCACTGAAACACAGAATTCCCCTGGGTTTTGCAGCTGTGTCTGTGACACAGTTTGTATATTGGTGTACATGTATATGTGTATATGTGCATTTCATTTCACGGCGTGATTCAAACTTATCACCTTAGACCTGAGCATAGGTTTTTCAAATCCCTACAAAACAGATCCCCTTTCAGGCTTCAGGATTTATAGCCTGTATTATTATCACCACAAACTGTTCACTGCCTACTAAACTTACACGTTATGAAAATGAATTAATTAAATACCTATTGGAATCTATTTTCCCCAGGGACTGGTACAAAACCAGTGTCACAGAGTGGCCGGCCCTTTAAGGGGAGTTGGGCCTAGCCGTACCTGTGACCAATTAGCAGATGCTGTAAGGGCAGGGATCAGGTGATTGCTTGAAGATCACCTCTTCTTCATATAAGACAGCAAGGAGCTCAGTTGAGCTGAACAGCTGCAGGCAAGCTCCCGCAAGAGTCCCTGGGTCAGGAGGAAGAACCCAATTTACATATCACTCAAGCAGAGTACAATCGAGAAGGAAGTAGAGGCTCACCTGGACTCACAGGAATATAATCCTGTAGGGTATAAATAGGCCCCTTGGCCAAGGAAAAAGGATACGATGGATGTGTTGAACTTATGTTATTTTGCAGAAATAAAGCTGAGTCTCTGAAGAAAACGGGACTGAAATCCAGTGGCGGGCGAGTGTTCTTTGGTGCATAAACTGGTGCGTTAGAACACTGGCTTACAACCAGATATTAATCGCTGGGATAAGAGCAGTTTTCCAACACTGCAGCAATACTCATGTCCTAGCAGCTATTTTCTAAAATGTATTACCATAAGAAGACACAAGTTTTACTTAATAAGGGCACTAATCCCATCAAAGTAAATAACTGGTTTGGTAAAGCTTTAATCATTCCTAATTTTGGCTCACCCCTTAGTTAACTATGGGTAATAGCTAATTTCTTCTAGATTACTGCTTTAAAAGGTTTTCCTCCCAAAGCACACATGCAATACAAATGCATTGCCATTTACTGTACATCTTGAAAGTACAACTGTTAGAGCGTGATTAATTATAATGACATAGTAGTTAGTCTGTTGGATACAATACATTTACTCAACCTCTCACTGACTGTCAAAGAGATACCGTAGGTTAGGTCTGAGCAGCGCTTGGACAGAATCAAGTGAAGAAAGGGGAAAAACAAAGATGAGATGCTTCAAAAGTGCTACTCACATCAGGACCCACAGATCTAAGAAACTGACCAGGTGGAATCTGATCTTACAGCTCTCTCAATGAGAGCTCTGTGGTTACATTTTCAAAGTTCGCGCCATCTAAAGACCCTGATGCTCCTAAGCAATTTCCACGTGACCAGCTTGACAAAGTTCTCCCTTCCTCAAGAAGTTATCCTATTGTTATTACTCTGCTCAGCTGGCTTATCAACTGGAGTACGGTGAGTGGCTTTATAACAGAACTTCCTCATACGTGGATTTAGTGTGTCATGGTGCAATGTTTCTCTGTATGCTGACTTTTAGTCTATCTCCATCTGTACTATAGGTGAAACTCACTCCCGTGCAGAGGACCAACTAAAGGTCTATGCACAATTTAACTCTTCACAAAAGAGTATAAATAGAATTGGCTCCAGAAGCTGAAATTCATCCCTGTGTAGTCTATCTCCCATTAAGTTTGATAGGAGTCTATCCATTGAACTATGGTGGGAGTGGATTGGGCCCTGTATCTGGGTCCCAGTCAGCAGGTAACTCCTGCTTAAAGTATTAACAGGAGAACCAGATGGAAACTCCTGCATCCAGAGGACAGACTACGCTCTACTAATTTTCATCTAAAGAAGATACGCAATGTGGCCAGCTCTTACGATTTTATCAGAAGTTACACAGTTTTTTGGGTGTTTTTCATAAAGCCTCAGTTTCTGGAGACATGTAATTACTTTAGAATCGCATCTTTCATTTTAAAAAAAAGCTTCTAGCCCTCATGAAGAAAAGCTGAAAAATGTGAAGTAAAAAGCCTCAAAAACAGAGACAAATAATAAGTAAAAAAACATCCCAAATTGATCATGTTTTCAAATATGACTTTTCAGCCAATTTCATTATTTGGGGGACTTAACACATGATTTTTGAATGCCTAGGCTTGATAAAACTGCATACAGCCTTGAGAATCCTTCTCCAGGAGATGAAGTAGATTACTGAAGACCTTCACACTTGGCCCATAATGTTTGGGAACCCAAACACCATGAAACTGTATCTTAAATGATGCCTGAAGGAAATTCCATTGGCCTCCCCCAGGATTCACCCCCCGTTTTGAAAACCCCTACTTACAATTGTGAAATTCATAACCTTGAGAATCCAGATGGTCATGGCAAGGTTCACCAGGATTAAAATCATTAGGAGTAGCACAAAGAAATAGAGGCATCTCTTCCTCCAGCCGTAAATCCCCACTTTGTATACCTGTGGGCCTTCCGAGCTCTGCATGGCGCTCCTGTGTGCGTACTGTTCCTGAGGCATCTGAAACAAGCACAGAAAAATAAGCAGGACCGTTACGCTGCAGGACGAATCAGATGGTGAGAAATGTCTTGTGAGAATGACTTGTCTGGGGACATGGATCTATGCTGATTAGAGCATTTTTAAATTCAGTAATTACCAGCTGGACAGTGCCTCTCCCTGTGGCTTGTTTCTGTGTTGTTCCTCTCACGGCTCATTTTATATATATCATAATACAGTTTTTATAGCCACGCACGCACTGTGTAAGGGCTTCCCAGAGAGACCACTCTCCAGTGACTCTCTTAGCAGCTCCATTTTTTGCAAGGCAGGCACTCCGGGCCCTCTCAAAATCCGGAGAGTAGAATTTTTGCATGCGCTTGGCAAAAGAAGTTGAGTTCAGCAGTTTGGTTTGAAGATGCAATATTACTTCTCAGAGGCTTTCATTAAAAAAAATCACCTCAAACAGAATTATTCTTGGTGGCCAAGAAAAAGGAGAAGGGGGGCAGGCGTTTGGCTTCTTTATTTCTCCCTCCTCATCCCTACCCCCTGCCCCAGGGAAACTTAAAATGTGAAGTTCTCCAGCTGCGCATCCCGAATCAAATTACTGCTGAAAGATTTACACCGAACGGAGGTTTCTGTTATTGCTGGCTCTGCCACTTACACTTGCTTTGCTGAACAGGGAGGTACTGCCTGCAGTTTGTGGCAGTGCACTGGGAAAGCCATGCAAGGGTCTTGAGGTAAAAGAGGAGAGAGAGGAAAGGAAGTAGGTGTAGTTACTAAGGTGTCTCCAAACACCAGCTCTGTGGTATTCCTGCAAAATGCACAGATTTTTTGATTCCACCAACAAGAGCCTGGTTGTGCAACCCTTAGTTTCTTACTCATGCAAACTCTCCCCTGGATTTCAATGGGACTTCTAGCATGAGTAAAGGCTCCCATTTGTAAGGGGTGAACAATTTTGGTCACAGGATTAGATTGTAGCATATATGCCATAGTCCTGAGCAGGGAGCCATGCAGAGCTGCACCCCTTCAGCTGGAGCACCAAGGATTTATGTTTGCCTGAGGCATGATCTCTTTTGATGCTTTTCTGGGCACAGAGGGGGTGGGCATGTTGCATCATTGCCCACTCCAACATGCTGACTTCCCGTGCCTCTTTGCACCTTCTTTCTGGCATCTTGCTCCCAAGAGAAGGAGCAACTTCTGCACTTCCAAATCACAGGGGTTGTAGGAGGCGCTAGCACAGCCCTTCGGGTGTAAGAGAAAGCTTGTGAGTGTGTGCGCGCACACTCCTTGTATACCCCTTCTCCCCTGTGCAACCAATATAACGGTTGTCACAATCTGGCCCTGAATATCCTAACCATGGCGTGAGCACTACCTGCTGAACTAAACTACTGCTATACAAAAGGTTCCTGACTCGTTTTGCAACGAGTTCATAGGATTTCCCCAGGGAACTGCTTCTTACGTTTGCAGGCCTGAAGGCACAAGCTGAAGATCACAGAATCATGGAAATGCCGGAATGGAAGGGACCTCAACAGGTCCATTCCCCTGCACTGAGGCAGGACTAAAAATTATCTAAACCATCCCTGGATAACTGAAAATTCCCAACGCCAAGTACTTTGCTGAATGTTTTGCAATTAGCCTGCTAGAGCCAGATGAAGAGATTACTGGGAGCTCTCTGGAGCTACAAACTCAAGGCCACTGCCTCCTGGCTCGCTACATCTTCCATCAGTCTTTGTTTTACATGAATTACAAAAGTTGCGACAGAGGATGAAGTGACATACGTCCTCCTCCATACAAGATGGTGAGAACAAAAACCTAATGGGAATGAGAAGTCATTTGGTAGCAACATCTTTATTACCACTATCAGGGTATTTGCTGGCTTTTAGGAGAAGTTTTGCTCAGAGCTTTTGTATTCCCGGGGCCAGACTGTGCTATTAAGGCAGGAGGTACTGATGCAGAGCCCACCGCGAGTTCCTCCTTCGTGTAACTCCATTTGCTTCAGGGCTGAAGTTCATGTTGCATCTTTGGCAACGGAACAACTCATTGCTCTAATACTGGAGCTATTTGGCCATTTTGTGTTATCCACCACGGCACAGGACACAGGTGATGGCAATTCTAGGAGGCCGTCTGAAAGGGTCTAGTTTAGGAATCACTACCACTCTCTGGCCTTTGTGCCAACTTTTGGTACAATGTGCGTGCTGGAATGGGAAACAGGACGGCTAAATAGGAGCTTTTCATTCACAGATTGAGAGGTCAACAGGCTTTTCCTCCTCCTTCACTACACCTCACTCCTGGCTCTGAGTCACTATACTCACCCATGTTGTGCCCCTCCAACTCAGACCAATGGCAGGTTCGGCCCCTGGCTTAGTGTCTGTACTGCCAACTCAAGCATTCAAAATTCACGAATCAGGCCCCCCAAAATGTGAGATTGGTTTAAAAATCACAAGATTTTGAAAATAATAAATGTTGGCAGGGGGTGGGGGAGGTGTTTATTTGCCTTCTAGTTTTTAAGCGGAGAGTACACTTGGGTCACATTTTCAAACTTTTCTCCACAACCTGGAGGGCTAGACGTTTGCTTAAAAAAAAAAAAACACACCAAAGAGAGCTGATTCTCAAGTAATAACATGACTCCAGGAGGTGGGGCTTTATGTAGGACACCAACTATCACGAGACTCAACCAGGCAACACAGTACAATCTCCTCTGCCTACCTTTGAGCCTACCTGCTCAATGGCAAGATTGAGTTTATTGTCTTTCAGACATGAGGGACTGTATTTCCTTGCAAAACTAAGCCTAGAATCATGAGAGGCGCAGAAATGTCAGTCAGTAAAAATAGCGATTCCCAGGCAGTGATATCTAAGAGCAATCCAGAAGCTGGAATCTATGTCTCCAGAAGGTAGATAAACCCAGAGACAAAGGGCCTGGGATTTCCCTTGCAAAAATATACTTAAATATAGTGTGAAGAGCCACCTCCTGCACCCCAAACCCCTCATCCCCAGCCCCACATCAGAGCCCTCACCCCCCCACACACCCCAACCTCCTGCCCCAACCTGGAGCCCCCTCCCACACCCTGAACCCCTCATTTCTGGCCCCACCCCGGAACCCGCAGTCTCCTCTCTCTCTCTCCCCCCGTACCCCCTCCTTGTGATTCAGAGAGTGGGGAAAATGTCATGTCCAACTTTGGTAAACGTGCAGACACCAAAAGATTTCTATGGGAACAGCACATAGCCACAGAAACGGGCTGATTTTGAGTATTTCTGTGGTTCACGTCAAACATTTTGTGCAGCTCTCTTCTGAACAGTGACGTATCATATACAGTACTGCAGCATATATGGGGCCACCCTACATTTATAACAAGAACATAACATAGGATTCATAGAGAAGGAACGTACTGCACTGACCACAAAAGAAAATGCTCAGACTGTCCATTATCTAAGGGAAAAGAAATACTGATGGACTTACAGTGCTGAGAGATATTAAACAAATGAGTAGAATGAAAAGCTTTGCAAGGCAACTGAAAAAGAAGCAAGAAGCATCTGCTATCAATATTCTACTCTATGTGGGAGATAAAAATATGCTAGTTATAGTTCACATCTTGGCAATTTCTCCCAACTTAAACAAGAAGCTGCAAGCCAAGCACCACAAGAGAGAGTATTATCTGGAAGTGTGTTTTGTTTTGCAAGGATTCTTCCTTTATAAATACATAATACTGATTTGTAAAGGAAAATTCGGAGGAGGGGTTATTTGTTGAGCTTTTAGGTTTTTGTTTCGAGAAAGGATAGACATGCCTAGTGTTTGACTGTACGTTAACGGGTGAAAAATTTATATTCTAAGAGAAGTGGTAAAAACAGAGAAGTAACATACCCACTGAATATGTCGGCATTAAAGTGTCCCATCTTTCCACACGCTGGGTTTCAAGACACTTGCGTGGAGTATCAGACAATCACTGCCGCACTTACAACCCTGCTCAAAATCCAGAACTGCAGAGGTTGCCCTTTGCAACTTTTCGGCTTTGCCTCAGGCAGCCTTACCCCCAATATTAGCTGTATTTCCCAGTGTTTCCCAAACTTGGGACGCCACTTGTGTAGGGAAAGCCCTTGGCGGGCCGGGCCGGTTTGTTTACCTGCCGTGTCCGCAGGTCCGGCCAATCGCGGCTCCCACTGGCCGCGGTTCGCTGCTTCTGGCCAATGGGAGCTGCTGGAAGTGGCGCGGGCCAAGGGACATACTCCTAATGGGAGGATACACACAGGAACAGGGGATAGACATACCTTTAAAGGCCACTGGGAGAGTGCCACACAGATTTCTCCCTGCAACTTTCTGCAGCAAGGCCTTGGTATCTGCAGAGGCCTTTGTAACAGTTGTTTTGGGCTGAGGATTGCCGAAAGCAGACTCGGCCGAAAGGGATCACAAATAAAAAAAAATAAATAGAAACCACTTTCTATAAATCATATCATGTCTCATTAGTTACAGTCTCACACGCGCCTTCTCGCTTTTATCAAGCCCTGCTTGTGTGGAAATAGCAGATTGTTGATTTCCTGTTTCATGCAGCTGGAGCTAGTCTTGCTCAGGCTGCAGTATCTGCATTATCAATTTATTGAACAGAAGTTGTTTTATCTTTACAGGGCAGGATTTAAAAAAAAAATAATCAGCACACATTTCCGTTGGAAACACCAGTGTCATCAGATTTCCTGCAGATTTACAGGCGGGCAAAGCTGTGTTGGCTAAATCAGGGCTCAGAACAGAGTGAGTCCCAAGAGGAGGAATCAATGCCCTTCCTGTGCCGGGGGGTGGGGGTTTCTTTTATCAGGGCCTAGATGATTAATGTTTTGCACCGAAATGATTTCAAACTGAAAGGAAATACACTGGGGGCAGGGGAGTTCTGCCTCCATTGGGAGGTCTGCATCTTTTGTCACTGCAATGTCATCAGCGTTCTTGGAAATGACCCGCTCCGATACTGACCCACTCATCTGTTGGGCACTGCAGAGAGCTGCTTGCTGACGTGAAGAACGGAGGCAGACGCAGCTTCTCT